ACCTTTGAAATGCTAACAACTGTCACCGCTGCCGAGGACCTTCTTGTTATTCATCAGAGCCGCCACCCTCACCGCCGATCGCCGTCCATCTGCTGCCCCCAAAGCTGTGGGAGGCTGCAGTGACCTCGCCGGCGTCTCTGAGCATGACCCCTGGCTGTCCGGTTCCGTGTCGGGGGGGGGGGGGGGGGACACTAATGTTTCACTCCATGCCATGAAGCTGTTTCTCTTTGAAGTCAGGGAGGAACGTGCTGTAAAATTTGGACTGACTACTGATGTTTGTTTTTTTTATATTGCCCCCCCCCAATGCCATACCAACCCCTTGGGTGTCCCCCCCCCAACCCCCGATATGCAAACAGATGCTCCTCTCTTGGCTCCTTCTTGCCATGGCGACTCTGAGACCCGATAACGAGATCTGTGCCACTGGTCCAATATCTGGACATGCCACGCAGCTTACTGGTATCCTTTTCCCCTCCCACCCCCCATCTCACCCCATTGCTACCCCTCCACTCCCCCCGCACGGACAGTTATCTGCCAAGAAGTGAAACGGCCGCCAGATGAAAGGTAAGTGCAGGCGGAAGCTAGAATGCAGTGCGTCACATGACCTCCAGCGGAGCAGAGCAGCGGCCGGGAAGCGGGCTGAGGCGGTATGGCGAGATCAAAGCCGCACGCCGGCAGGCTCGCCACGGTTACGGCCGCGCTGGTTTTGATCTCGGCCATCCGCGTGGCGTGATGCACCGACCACTCAAGGCACTGTGAGCGGCGCTTCCTGAACGCTTGGTCGCTCTAAAAAATACAGCATGTGGCATCTCAAGGGAGGCCGATAAGGAGAATCACACACCGCGAGCAGTTACCGCGGGAGATGGGGGCTGCCAACCATGTGACGTTTACCATGTGATGCACACCTGCCCCATCCACTGACCTGTCAGGGCTACCACCCGCTAACCATGTGACACACGTTTGCCCCGCCCACTGACCTGAGCGCTTGTAGGACTCATGGCAGGTGTGGGTAATTTCGGCAGCCAGGTCCAGGTAGTGCTGCCTCTTCTCGGGCTGCCCGTCGTCGGCGCCGATCGCCACCATGCCGCCGGAGAAACAGGCCAGGTGGCCCATCTTGTGGTCCAGGATGCCACCCCTCCACTCCGCCAGGTAGGTCAGGCCCCCGGGGGACTTCTGCACCAGGTTGGATTCTATGGCCTGTGAGCCAGGAACACAAGAGCGCAGACTTTCTGGAGCACTGCCCCCTACCTGAAAGGGACAGCCCCCCCTCACCGTGCATGGTGGAACATGCCTGGGGAAACGCGGGTGCGTGTGCCACTATAAATTTCCTTGACACACGGGTCGTTCTCTTCGCGGTGCTTCAAAGCGAGCATTTGGGAGAGTAAACACAGAGGAAGCCGGCAGAAATGCGACAAATCTGCATATTCAGGCCACTTGCTTGCATCTCTGGTGTGCCTCTGCCTTGGGGCTTTGTGTCAGGACAGAGCATCCCCCCCGCCCCGCCCCCCGGCTCCCTACTGCCAACACTTCAAATGACCGGGGGGGTGCTACCCGAAATCGCACAACGGTGGTGCTCAATTATTTTCCATCAAAGTTCCAAATTCCATCAGCAACACAAAGCCAAGGTCCACTGCACCTGAAAAAAAATTCTGGAATTGGGGGCGGATGCAGGATGGATTTCACTAGGTCTGGATTAGATTGTATTTTGGTCCAGGTGTGAATCACGGGACGCCAATTGAGTACCCTTGTCCGAGACTGTGGGGGTGATGGATGTACTGTAGGTGGAGGGGGATGGAAGGAGGTGGAGGGAGGTGGAAGGAGAAGGTAGGAGGTAAAGGGAGATGGAGGGAGAATGAAGAAGAGAAAGGGAGGTGAAAGGAGATGGAGGGAAGTGGAGTGAGAGGTAGGGAGGTGGATGAAGCTGAACAGAGATGAGGGAAAGAGAGGTCAAAAAGTGACCAAACTTTGCAGCCAGGCAGAGTGAGCCCTCTGGCTTTTTTAAGAGATCAGAATCTCTCTCTTATTATTAATTCATTTTATTATAGGACCATTACATTCCTCAAGGGCTGGAACACACACGCCTAATTAAAACCTGTTTGCGCTAATTATAGAGTGAAATAATTGAAAATAATGTGTTGCCTCATACAGTATCTTCATTAGAATTTGCTTTTGCACCAGGGCAGGAAGTGTTGGGCGGAACGGCCCGGATGCTCCTGGGCTAATTATTTCTAGGATGGCTCTGAGAAACAGATGATTTCCTTCCTTACGATTCCATGCTTCCAGCTGGATACATAACAAGCAGAGAAACACGGAGACTCCCTCCCGGCACAATGGAATCATTCACGCCCAAGGTTTGCCTAGTGATGGGCCCCCCCAACACACTGGGCTGCCCCTTTATGACTATAATAGCCTGTTTTATTTGTTTTTACCACCCCCTACTCATTCTGCCTGCCGCTCTGTGCTCGACTGGATGGCTGAGTGATCAAATCAAGGGTTGGTCAAGGTCACAGATCACATGACCTGAGGGACCATCAGATCCCGGCACCTGATGCTGCAGCATCAGTAGTATCTCTGTTTCAAACAGCATAAACGAAGGATCTGATAAAAACATACCTCACCTCATCACATGTGCCCTCCCACATCCCACACCCTACCTGCCCCCCCCCCCCCTAGGGTGCAGGTCTTCCCACCTTACTGCCCCTCGCCCCCAAAAACAGCCCACGGGTCGCACCTCCAGCGCACTGTAATACATCTTCTTGGCCTCCTCATCCTGCTTGTCGGACATCAGGTAGGACTTGATGAGATACTCGTAGAAGCTGTCCCCCAGCCCGCCGACAGACACGTGATCTGAGGAAGAGGAATTCAGATGCCTGAGCCTGGCATATGCAGAAGGGCAACCCTGAGATTCAGCTAACACAACACGACCATCCATCCATCATTTATGGATTTTTAAGGTGCAACTTCAGGGCTGCAGAGTTGGGGCCAGCGGAAGACAAGATCTCTCGGTACAGAAAATTATGGTTCATCTGAGACCTTAACATCTCCGAAAATGTGGGCTTGCTTGTCTCACATGGCCATTCTGCCCAGATTAAAATGCTGGCTGCATGTTGGGAGACTCCCCCCCCCCCAACTGGCCACAAAAGGTTATCTGCTGGACGTCAGCTTGACCTTCACAATGAGATCTGGGCAGGTCTTCCCTCATCCCCGAGGCATTTGGCCGATAAGACTCAACCTTTTATCGCTCATCCCTTTTCGGGCCAGCAATTAAGCTGAATAACTGTCTCCGGTCCAAAAAGCTTCTTGCATTGGAGAATACGAGACGATTCATTTTCTGGAGCAACAACATGCGAGACGGAGTCAAATCGAACGGATAAGAGACAAGGACTTTCAGTTCCAGTGAGCATTAAACCGGAGGTCTCCGTGGGGATTTTAGCCTCGCCAGATCCCCCACCCCCACCATGTTTTGGCTCCGTCCAATCCGTGGCCGTCTCCCCAGTAACTACGGTGCAGCATTAAATGAGCTGGCAAAGTGGGACCGCTCTCGCAGATGGGGGAAACTGGGTCTTAACGCCGGCTCTGTGATTTGCTTGGATGCCCGTTGCACTGCATTCAGGCGAAACAGGCAGCAGGGGCTGCGATCCCAGCGATCCGGCCAGGTAGGTGTCTGCTAGCGGGGGGGATCGTCAGAGTAACAGAGCGTGGATGCTGTCGATAGGTCTGGCGGTCTGCAGAACGCTGGGGGTTTTGGCGAAGGGTTGGTTAATGTCCAAAAATTAAGTATATCCTTCTGAAATGCGGGGGAAAAAGTTTTTTCAATTTAAATTCATTTTACATAAATTATGTGTTGGGATGGTAAAAAGCACCCCCACACACACATGGTATCATGGTTAAACTTATTAAATCTGGCTAGCTGTTTGATTCACTGCCAGCACCAGCCTGCCACATTTTTGCATGATATGAACCAGTCCGTGGACATCGAACGTTTGGGAATCGCTAGGATTCGAGGATTCAGCAAACAGAATGGAAGGCCTTGTTAGACCATTCTGTTTTCAGTCTGTACATCACCAATGGCAGTCGCTGATATCCCGGCGTTTCCATACTCACGCTGAACCCAGTTGCCGGTGGCCGGACTCAGGAAGTTTGGGTACAGTCCGTGTGGCTTCTCGATTTTGTTCAGAAGCTTCCGGATGTTCATCACCTAAAGAAAAAAAAAAAAACGCGCAGGCATGAGAAAACCCTTCTTGAACGTTTTTCTCTTGTGGGCCTCCTGGAGACAAATATTACAGCCCTCAGTAGATGTGACAGCAAAGTATTTTGTGTAGATGAAACAATGCAACATCGAAAGCGAGACATTAAAAGAAAACAAGGATTTCAGACTGAGCCAGTTTCATCTGCACAAAATGACATTCTGCAAAGAAATTGTCTCGCTGATAACTTTCACAGCCTCCTCCATAACTTCCTGGAAGTGTCTGATGAATTATGGGATGACTCACCTTCTCGGTGAAGACAGGATTGCCCGTGAGCTCGGACAGGTGGACGAACTCCAGGTGCAGGGTTCCGAACTCAGCCAGGATGCTGCTGCCTGCAGAGGCCCAACCCCAACTCCAACTGGTGCCGCTGGAACAGAGTCGAGGTGGGACAGGGCCGTCACGCTCACGCGTGAAGCCCTCGGCGGCCTGGAGCTCGCCGTCCGACCTCCTGCTAAGCTTCCGGCAGGACCCCCCCACTGCGATGGCTGACACTGATCTCCTTCCTTCCACAACGATTCATTTCTCACCGTTTCCTCGGTCTGTCTGCCCAAGCTCGGCCTCAACTGTCAGTGCTTTGGCTGGGCCAGACCTGGTAAATGTCACTTGATGGTCCTCACAATTAAAAAACATGCCTACTTGCTAATTATTGGGAAACCTGCTGGACCAGCCCCCCCGATTTCCCTGGAATTATAACTCTCATCTTCAGCTAAGTCTGTGTCTCCAGTTTTCCTGGAGGGTGGAACATGAATCTGATTCAAATACGGCATTAAGGGGCAGAGAAACATTTCCAGACCGGCAATCGCACACAGAAACGCCCCGGCGTGCATTAGAAACCAGCTCATGATTAGCAGCCCAAGTCAAAGCGACACGCACGAGTGCGGCGGGGAAATCAATCAGCAGGCAGAGCGATGGCTCCACCCACCTCCACCATTGTAGCCTTAATCCCCCCCCCCCCCGCCGCCACCCCCATCTAATCACAGGCAGAGGAAACACCGAGTGCCATGGAAGGACAGGAAAAAGGGGCTGTTACACATTGAAGTATAGACAGAGAGGTGGGGGCTGACGGAAGAGGGCCCCCAAGAAAAGGTCACAAGCTCGCCTGCACCGTTGGGGGAGGGGTCGGCGGTCGCCCGTTCTGTGACATTCAGAATAATGTGACTCATCACCACGTTGACCTCCGATAACATCCAGAACTCATCGCCAGCCCAGTCAGTAGACGACCGCCGGCCCAGCGATGCAGCTCAAAACAATCTGGACCGAACCGAGCGGAAAGGCGACCCTCTAGAAGGTAATGGAGCGGGATCCCACAGCCAAGGCCGGCTGCCAGATGCGTGTCCTGCGGACTGAGGACATGGAGACAGGTGCCGGAAAGAGCCGCGGTTCTGAGCACCACTGCAGCATCACTAAACAACGCAAAAGAAGCCAAGACTGGACCATCGTATACCGGGTGGAGAACACGGTCAGATGATCACCATGAAGTCGGGCCAAAGAGAAGCTTGGATCTCCATCTCCATGGACGGTGTCAGAGCCAACATCCTCTCCAGAGTGCCCCCTCCCCTGTCACTCACTGATTCAAAGTATATCATTGGCTACTAAGAAAGTTGGTCCCTCCATATGAATTATGCCCCCCACCTTGAAAAATTCTGGAATCTCCTCTGCTTAGTTCCTGACTGACTTCACTAACCAGAGCAGACGGGCCCATTAAGGGGGTCAAGGCAGCTAAAATCACAGCCAATGCTTGCAGCCCAAAGAACACGCATTGCATTCTGGGTAGAGGAAGGTGGAGACGAGATCTCGGAAGCTGCCTGGTCTCGACGGCTGGGGGGTGGGAATAAATGGGGTGAAATTTCTTACCCAGCATGTGTGTATATGTGATTGTGAGTGAGTGTGTTTGCATGAATAAGTGAGTGAGAGAGTGTGTGTGTGTGTGTGTGTGTGTGTTTGAGATTCACAGTCCGACAGTGTGGATCTGGTGGGATGCACAGGCAATGGATTTTTCTTTGTTACTGTCACGGTGGTTCTGGCCCATCTGGATCACAGACCCTCGTTACCTATCAAACTGGAATCATTTCTGCAGTCGGTTAATTAAATTTGCCGGCAGCTGTCCGAATGAGCTGGCGGGCTAATTGGGAGCAGGTGGGTGGCGGGGGTGCCAACGCCAGCGAAAGCACAGCGAGAGGAACTGAAAAGCAGTGAGCGGCAGCTGCTTTACTCCGATCCGCATAGCCGCCGCCAACCTGACCCCCCAGGACACAAATCGCCAATTAGCGCTTTTACTCGCGAGGATGTAGGGTCAAAAATGTAGCCGGGCAGTTGTGGTGGAACATGGTGGTGTAGGGTGGCGGGGTGGCATGCGGGCAAGGCTGCAACTCACCTGCCCAGGTTGATGACCCCACGTGGGATGCCAGTGGGCGTGTTGAAGGCGGGCAAGAGCTTGTCGCCCAGCTCCAATACCTTCCTCTTGAAGACCTGCAAGGGGGACAGAAACAGAGCTCTTGTTTTGAGAAGTCGGTGGCTCGATGAACGGGGGCTCCCCGGGAAAGGTGCAGGGACTGGCACAGCACTGGGCCACCCCCGCTGCCCGCTGTCGCCCACGATAAACCGCCTCATTACCTCGCGGGCAGCAGACTGCCAGCGCTGCCTGGGCGGGATTAAAAGCTGTCTCGTTGATGCAATCCGCAGCGGCACAATGAAACAGGCCGAGCTCCTCGGAGCCATTAGGGATGGCCACTCTTCATCTGGAGGCGGGGTTAATGCCACCCCCCCCCCAGGGCCAGGCGGCACTGAAGGGCAGGAACGGAAGCAGCCTACTCCAGGTCACATGACCAACCCTCTGCAAAGAGCGACCTTCATTACTTCCTGTGTCAACCTTCCACTAGGCTTAGGCACTAATTTTTCATACTGACATATCACATCATGGTATGTTCTAAAGCAACAGGCAGCAGGGGGTGCGGTTGACTTGATGAAAGTACCGTGGTATACCATAGTACTGGGCACCAAAGCCTATCCTCCACCTTCCCAGTCTGCTGTTCGGAATATGCCAGATAGAAGTAGGCCAGAGCTGGTGAGACAGAAGGTGCTCAGTGCCCATTCCTGAGGACGTCCAATAGACAGGCTTAGCTTCCATCGACGCACCACCAGCAGAACATCTGCCAAGCATTAGATGTTTCCCCCAAAAGGCATTATTTAAATCACGAAGGACATCAGACCAGGAGCTGAATTCCATCACACTTCTCGTAAAACCGAGCGCTGAGAGATTTTCACAGGGATGACGTGTGATTCGCCCGCTTTTTAGCATTAACATCAGGAACATCGTTGACGGCCCACACAGTGAAAGAGGGGCACCATTGGAATGGCGTCAGAACAGATGATTCTACTAGGTTATCTTTGGATAAGCATCTGCTAAGTGGAGCCGTGCACGAATACCCAGGCTCAAAGCCCACCTCGCTACGGCCGCTTTGCTCAGTTTTTCCCATCCACGCTTCTCCCAGATCCTCCACTTGCACCTGCAGTCCCACCTCCCCAGCCCTTCTGCCTGATTTGCACGGTGCATCTTCACAGGCCACGCTGACACGCCATCTGATGCGATGAAGCGGGAACCTGCGCTGAGGCCGCAATGCGATGAAGCGGGAACCTGCGCCGAGGCCGCAATGCGATGAAGCCCGCAGGATGGGTGACGACCCTCCTGTTAGTGTTCCTAGGATTCTCACACTGCCACGGAATATCCAGCATCTTAGGAGAGAGACCCCTATAACCTGCTGCTGTATTTTACTCTGCCCCTGGTTAAATGTGCGGTACCGGTGCTGTATGGTACCGTTCTCTCAGGGGGTATTTCTAGGTAACCATGTTGGCGTGAGGGTCAATTATGAAACATCCTCATTTGGTGTCAGAGGACGGCATTCCTCTCTTGGCTGGGACTCCAGCACCTGGCTGATGTAGTTCTGCTTTCACCAAGCTCACACTGGGGCCTGGGGCCACCAAGATCCATGTTTAAATCCCGGTTCTGCTAAGACCCATGTCTGAATTCATGTTCTGCTAAGATCCATGTCAGAATCCCAGTTCCACCAAGCTTCCTGCCTGAATCCCAGTTCTTCTAAGCTCTATTCTTGAGTCCTGGTTCCTCCCCGCTCCATCCATACGTCCTGCATCCACAATAAGTCAACTCTAAACATCCAACAACCTACAGGATTCTCTCTGTTCTTTTACTATCTCCTCGAGCCTGACCTCTACGTGGTACCTTTAGGTTAATCAGCTTGTCCCTGAATTCATACCGGGTGAGTTACTCCACACATTTCAAAACCGCCTCTGTGAGCCAAACCGCCTCCCTTCGTTATACCATACAAATGTGAGTCTGTAGAAACATCAAAAGCTTTAACTTTTACCAGCACAAAGCTTGGTACAGCTCCCCTTCAAAGGCGCGGAGTCAAGGCAGACCAGTGATGACATTAAACAAGCTAGAACTAATGATCATCACACACAAGCCAAGTTCTCTCTCAGGAAACGCTGCCAGATGCAAACAATTAAGGACAAAAGTGTAAACGAACTCTCAGCAGGCTTAAGGTAACAAACGAGTTGCTAACTATTCCGTCATGGCTGCAGGAAAACCGAATTACCTAGAAACGCAGCCTCAAACCTGGTCTGATTTGATTGGCTCGGACCGGTCACATGACTTGACAGCATCGTGATGAAACTAGTGAGTGCTCGCTGTTTGTGAAGTATATGTTAGAGAGTTGTGTTTTCACAAGACATGGAGACGCAGCTCAGCATCTTTCAGATAAAGCCTGAAAATATCGAATGGGTTTAGAAATCTGTCTTATTCTGAACACAATAAAATGCTGAGTCAGCCACTCACACAGGCACATACGCTGAACCCAGCTCTGACACGGGGCACATTCCCCTTGCTGAGGACCACCTGGGACTCAGGACTCTCTCGGTGTCCCCTGCAGCAAACACAAGCCTCCGGAAACTCAGTTCCCCATTAGTGATGCAACATAGGCCACTGAGTTCCATTTATGCACATAGAACACCTTCTCCTTCTCCCCCCAGCTGAAAAAAGGAATTGCAAAGCAGAAGAAAAAAAGAGAGGTTTAATAAAAAGAAAAACAAACCCCGTGTGATGCAATCGGAATCGACTTCTTTAACGCGATGGCGGCGGTGGATGAAAGGACACCTCCCAATGATTTTATTGTAACTCGCTCTCTGGAAACATAAGCTGTTTAAAAATTCCCTGTCAGAGATTCCTCCTGTCCTTCAACCCTTGTGCTTTGATGTCCCCAAGGGAGGGGGTTAGAGGGGGCTTGGGGGTTAAATCAGGGCAAGCCCAAGGCAAAAACGCACGTGTCATTAGATGACCAAGCCCTGTAGCATGAATGCTTGCATTTCATTTGCTTCAGCTATGCACAAAGTTTGCATGTTGACTGTTTCATCCTGCAGTGCAGTAAGACTGGGACACTCATTCCTACAAAAGAGCTGCCCCTCCCCTCCGCCCCCTCCCCCCACCCCACCACACCCCACCCTAGGTTTTAAAGCTCACATACAGCCTCAGGCTGTTTTCAGAAGCTGCACATTGAATAACTGCTGTGTTTCACTGGCGATCTCACTGCATCTCACTGCGGCTGTTTTCTGACTGACTGCTGGAACTCTGTGCCCATACCTGACAGACCGCTAACCGCTGACCTCTGCGTTCAAGGTCAAATAAAATTCTAAGCAACGGTTAACATGGTCCAGCCATTAGCACTAATACTGATCTGCAAATAGACTTATGCACCTTCAAAAATAGCAGTCGGCGACTTTCATAAGGAAGCAGCCAGTATATATATAACAATAATGATACATTATTAGAGTTACATTAGAGTTATACAGCTTTTCAAAACCCAAAGATTCGAACAATATTCAGCCTCACAAAGCATTTTCAATTTATTCTAAGCCAAGGAATATAACGCCTTTGCTGTTTTTATGTAGCAGACATTATCCAAATCCGAAGTGATGTATATTTTTTGTTGAGAAAGCAGGGTCACACAGTCCCTGGGGCAACAGGGGAGTAAGGGCCTTGCTCTGGGGCGCTATGAAGAAGTCACTCTGTTGTCTCTGAGATTTGAACCAGCAACCTAACCCCCCCGAGCCACAGATCAGCTCCCGCACCAAGCTGAACCCGAGACAGACCCAAGAACAGCAGCTCCCCTGTGTCGCCACACCCGCCAAAGCGCATACAGACCCCGTGTCCTGCACCAACCCAATAAGCCGCAAACCTGCCTCCCCACGGCCCAGGGCACGCCGGCTGTTTGTGAGTTTATGAGTATAATTTCTTTGCCCAGCCAGACGGCAGACAGAGATACATTATGCATAATTTATCATAAGTGGTCTCACTCGAGAGACAAAATGCTGAAAAAGATCAGATGAATTAGATATGAACCTTTCTCGGCAAACAGCATCAAAGCTACATTTACTATCAAAATCTAATATATTAGAAAAGAAACAAGCAAAGATGGATTACACAAACTTCCTGTGGAAAAATGACTGTACGGCTTAATAATTATATCTGGAACAAATGTTACTTCATGTGTTTAACTTTCACAAGGTGTTCGTACATATAAATTGCTTCCTAGTTTGTCGGGATAATATATGCGGCAGTCTGTGTATCTATTGCTCTTTCCCGATGTAATTCTGCAGCATGTCAGACTGAACAAAGAGCTCCTCTTCTTTATTAATCAGTGTCGTAACTACGGCTCAACCAAGTACAGAAGGACCTCTCGGTGTTCCGGGTAGGCGAATGTATCAAAAGTAAAGGCACTCGCGGATACCGACCCATGTGATCCGCTCAATGAGACAGTATGCTTGTGCTTCTACTGCCTGTCATCAGGTGGCGCTGTCTGTTACACTACAGCACAAAATTCCTCTTCTCTTTTTACATGCATTTTTTATTATGCGTATATTTATTGCACATACTTTTCTAAACCTTGAACCAGTGGCCATGTATTACAATAGAGACAACGATATTAATATTCAAAAACAAATGTTGTATTTAAAGAGTGAAATGATTAAATATTAATTGACGGCTTTAAACATCAGAGTATTTGCTCATGCGGGGTGGAAGTGAGCACAGAGCCCGGGCGTGTGCTTGTGTGGGCAGGATGAACGGGATTCTGGTGCCTTTCCCTGGGGGAGCCAGAATCTGGGGAGAGTTAAAACCCCATAAAGCATCGCTGGGGCAAATCTTCCCACGATGACAACAGAAAATCGAGCCCAGGCACAAGAGAACCAGCCCACCTTTCTCCTGCATTACCTGTCACTGGTGGGGGGCGTTCATCAGATTGTGGTTCTCTTACGCACGCCGGGCCCCCTTTTGGGACAGATGACATCAGAGCGGAGAGGCTTTAAAGCCAGAGTGCGAATGAAGAGCTTACGTCTCATGCACACACACACGCCCACGGACGCAGGAAGCAGCAGGAGACAGAGAATTACATTAACCG